TTAGGGGCGTGGTGGCGGTAGCTTGTAGTGTGGCGGGGCAGGTGCTGTGCTTAGAGTGACGTGTGGTGTTGGAAAGTATGGTGGCCTGTGTTGTGGGTAATGGTATGGTGTGTGGGAAGATATGGGCATGGTGTTGTGGGGGAAGTATGGGCATGGTGTTGTGTGGGAGGTATGGGCATGGTGTTTGCATGGTGTTGTGTGGGAGGTATGGGGCATGGTGTGGTGTGGGAGGTATGGTAGCCTGTGTTTGGTTAATGGTATGGTATGTGGGAAGTATGGGGCGTGGTGTTGTGGGGAAAGTATGGTGTCCTGTGTTGTGGTTAATGGTATGGTGTGTGGGAAGTATGGGGCAGTGGTGTTGTGGGAATTATAGTCGTGTAGGGAAATGTAATGGTGTCCTGTGTTGTGGGAGTCTGGTATAGTGTGTGGGAAGTATGGGAAGTAAGTATGGGGGGTGTTTGTGGCAGTCTGGGTATATGTGTGGGAAGTATGGCATGGTGTTGTGTGGGAAGTATGGGGCATGGTGTTGTGTGGGAAGTATGGGCATGGTGTTGTGGGCAGTCTGGTATAGTGTGTGGGAAATATGGGGCATGGTGTTGTGAGGGAAATGTTATTTCTGGTGAAATGGGTTGTGGGAAATGGGTGACTATGGTATTGGGAGAGAATTGTGGTGTGTGTGTGTGTGTGTGTGTGTATGATGAAGTGTTTGATGCATTATTATTATTTTTATTGTTGTTATTATCATTTATCATCAATATTATTATTATCATTATTATTATTATCATTATATTATTATTATTATTTATTATTATTATTATTATTATTATTACTGTTTTTATTATCATTATAATTATTATTATCATTATTATTTATTATTATTATTTATATTATTATTATTATCATTATTATTATTATTACTACTACTATTATTATTATAAATTATCATTATTATTTTCATTATCGTCATTATTATAATCATCATTATTATTATTATTATCATTATTATTATATTATCATTAGTTTTTATTATCTCATTATTACCATTGTTATTATTTTATCATTATCATTATCATTGCTATTATTGGTAGTAGTATTGTTATTATTGCAATGATGACTGTTATTATCATTACCATTATTATTATTATCATTACTATTATTCTTATCATTATCATGATTATCATTATCATCATTACTATTACTATTACTATCATCAATATCATTATTATCATTACTATCTACTACTGTTATTGTTATTACTATATCGTTATCATTTTTATTTTCGTCTTATTACCATTATTTTCATCATCATTATTACTGTTATCATTATCATTTATATCACCGCTATCATTATTAATCAAAATAAGTATCATTATCATTATCATCGATATTTCTATTATTATGATTACTATAAATTTCATTATGATCATTACTATCATTATTGTTATCATATTATTGTGATCATTACCACCATCATCATCATCATCATGAGTGTTATCACTATTACTACAATTACTATTATTATCATTATCATTATTCATTTACTATTATCATTGTTGTTGTTGTTATTATTACTATCATTATCCTCATTATTACTCTTATTATCATCATTATTCTCATTATTACCTCTATTACCATTATCATTATTGCTATTGTTATTATCGTGAATTTTGATTCTATCCTTTTTTGTTATCATTATTAATTACTAATATTATCATCATATAAATATTGCTATTGTAAATCGTTATTATTATTTACTATTGTCATTATTATTGCTGTGATTATAATTATCATTATATCATTATCTTCATTATCATTATCATCATTGTTATTGATATTAATATTATTATCATCATTATCATTATTATTGTTATTATTATTATTATTATTATCATTGTTATTCATTACTATTATCATTATTATCATTATCATTTCATTATATCATTTATCATACATTATCATTATCATTATATCATTATCATTTATCATCATCATCCACTATCATACCAGTCATATCTATCGCAGATCATCGCGCCCTTTCAGCACCTCCGAAGTAAAAGCCGTTGTACATTCCTTTCCTTATCTACAGTTCGTATCGTAGCCAAACAACTCGACAGTCTACCAGGGGGGGGGGGGGGGGAAGGAATATGTACGTGTATATAACAACACATACTTTCTCCTTTAAAAAAAAGCAGTGAATAAAGCCAAAAACTTTCCCGAACGCAATGGCGGCCCCCCAGAAGCGAACGCAGGTGAACAAAGCAAGTAGCATTCAGTGTGGAATCTAAAAGCAGCATTACTACGTTCAAGCACAGAGACAAAACCAAGTCCGGGTTGGTGCTAAGGGAGAGGGTTTATGTCACGGGACCAGCGGAGCACTGATGATCGTGCCTAAAGGAGAGAGAAGAAGAGAGGGCGAGAGATGGAAGGAGGAATAGAGAGGGGGAAGGAGGGATAGAGAGGGAGAAAGAGGAAGAAGGAGGGATAGAGAGGGAGAAAGAGGAAGAAGAGGAGAGAAAGAGAGAGAGAGAGATATGGAGGGATAGAGAGGGAGAGGGCAAGAAGGAGGGAGAGAAACAGAGAGAGAGAGGAGAGACAGAGAGAGAGGAGAGAGGGGGGAGAGGGACAGACCAGATGTACCCGAGTGAGAAAGAGAAAAAACAAAAAAAAAAAAACAAAACGTAGTGTGTGGAGAGAGAAAAAAAGAAGATAAGGAAAAAAAATCATTGTGGAAATTTCATTCAACAATAAATCATTTTCCTTTATTGTATTGAGTTTCCATTCATCTCTTAGAATGAACGCCAGGCATCACAGTTTGTTTGTTGTGTGAGAGATGTTAAAAGCAATTTCGTCCCCTTGTTACGCTGTCCAATACTGGTCTGCTAAATTTATCACTAAAACGAATTATTATCAAATCTTACAGTGACATGAACTCATCAGAATTCAAACGCAGTTAGAATTAATAATCAATTTAATTACGCATCAGATGAAACACGAATAGAAAAGCGAATGAATATGAAAAAATAAAGACTGAAAAGAATTTAAGATTCTTGAACGTACGGCATGTGGCTTCGTGTTTACAACGTCCAGCGCACAAAATACTCCCTTTCATTATAGGCTTCTATACTCGTAAATTTACTGCGAAATGTTCCAGTGTTTATTTACAGTCCGTGCCGACGCAAACTACAGATAAACTTCCCTGCCAAAGGTTGGAAACGAACGGAACTTGGCGGCGTGTGATTAGCCTGTCAAAGGTAGTGTAATTAGACGATTCTGACAGACGAGAGGAGAAGCAGGTGACAAGAGGATGACGACGGTGGACAGGTGGAGCGGGATCTCTGTCTGTCTGTGTCTGTCTGTTCCTGTCTGTCTCTTTATCTTCTTTTGTTTGTCTCAATCTCTGTCTGTCTCTCTCTTTCTCTCATATCGTGTGTTGTGTGTGTTTTGTGTGTTGTGTGTGTGTGTGTGTCTTTGTGTGTGTCTGTGTGTGTGTTGTGTGTGTTTGTGTTGTGTTTGTTGTGTTTGTGTTGTGTGTGTGTGTGTGTGTGTGTGTGTGTGTGTGTATTGTGTGTGTTTGTGTACAGAATATCAGCAATCCTTAGACCTATTAACCAGACAAGTAGGCTTCCCTCGATATCTTTCCTTCCCTTCCCTTCCCCGAAATTTCTATGACTCATACTAGAAGTTCGTCTGATATGCAAATGAAGGCCGGTCTTTGATGTGTGTATCCCCCCTCCCCCTCCCTTCCTCTCTCTTCCCCCCTCTCCTTCCTTCTCTCCTTCCCCTGTCCTTCTCCCTTCCCCTGTGATGGCAGAAAGCGAGTGCTGGAGACGAGAAAATTTTAGTAATGTCAGAGGAAAGAGGAAGAGAGAGAGAGAGGCAATGTTATTCGCACTTGAGGAAAAGGTGGAATAAGGTCGCTTGAAATGTTTAATGTGGAGTTCATTTTGATACATGTTGGATAAAGTATGAATGATTAAAGTAATTATACAAGACGTGGAGTGTTGTTAATGTTTTGATGTTGCTCTCTCTGATTTAAATAGGCTCTATGATGTATACATATCTTTTAGAAAGAGACTAATCTACCTAGATGATGTTTTGACATTCACAAAGCAGAATATAGTTACATATATTTCTTAACGATACAGAGTTGCATATAATTCTTATCTAAAACTTGTCGATTTATAATCTAGTCTACCCTTATCATATTTTGAAATTCATAATACAGGATAGAGAATAACTCATATTTCTGAACTGAAACTTAACTACTTTGAGCATGAAGTCATAAAGGCAAAAATGGAGTACTGAAGCCTTTAAGAGAGAGCATAGAGCTTGATGAGTGTAGGTACATACATCTCATGAAGAAAAACTTACAGACTTGAAAAGAGTTATGTAAATAAACTTAAAGTCAAGATATGCAAGAGAGAAAAGGAAAATTCCTTGGGAATATTGACGTACTTTCTTGAAAGATATTCTCGCATTCCTTAAGAAACTAGAAGACACAAAAAAAAAAGAAAAAGGAATTACGGAGAGGTTATGACGTATTTTTTTATATTTCGCATTTCTAAATAAACGGAAGAGAAGAGAAAATCGAGACTATGACGTACTTCTTTAAAGATATTTCGCATTCCTAAATAAACAAGAGACAAGAAAAAAAGAAAATTATGCTCGAATCCGACGTATTCTTTAAATAAGAATTTTTCGATTTCAATTAAGGAAGAAGAAAAAAAATGAATAATAATTTATAAAAAACAAGAGACAAGATAAAAAAAAAGAAAATTATGCTCGAATACCGACGTATCTTCTTTAAAGATATTTCGCATTCTTAAATAAACAGGAAGAGAAGAAAAAAGAAAATTACTGACGAATACCCGACGTGTCTTCTTTAAAGAAATTTCGCATAATAATAATATAAAGAAGAAGAGACGAGAAAAAAGAAGAAATGGCGTTCGAATACCGACGTTTTCTTTAAAGATATTTCGCATTTCAAAATAAAGAAGAAGAAGAAAGATAATAATAATAATAATAATAAACAAGAGACAAGATAAAAAAAAAAATTATGTTCGAATACCGACGTATCCTCTTTAAAGATATTTCGCATTTCTAAATAAACAGGAAGAGGCGAGAAAAAAAAATTACTGAGAATTATTGACGTATCTTCCGTAAAGATATTTCGCATTTCTAAATAAAGAAAAAGAAAAAAGAAAATGGCGTTCGAATACCGACGTAACTTCTTTAAAGAAATTTCGCATTTCTAAATAAAGAAGAAGAAAAAGAAAAAAAAGAAAATTACTGAGAATTATCGACGTAACTTCTTTAAAGATATTTCGCATTTCAAAATAAAGAAGAAGAAAAAAAATATAATAATAATAATGATAATAAACAAGATACAAGATAAAAAAGAAAATTATGTTCGAATACCGACGTACCTTCTTTAAAGATATTTCGCATTTCTAAATAAACAGGAAGAGGCGAGAAAAAAAAGAAAAAGAAAATTACTAAGAATTATTGACGTATCTTCCATAAAGATATTTCGCATTTCTAAATAAACAAGAGACAAGAAAAAAAATTATTTTCGAATACCGACGTACCCTCTTTAATGATATTTCGCATTTCTAAATAAACAGGAAGAGGCGAGAAAAATAAAAGAAAGAGAAAATTACTGAGAACTATCGACGTAACTTCTTTAAAGATATTTCGCATTCTTAAAGAAACTGGAAGAAAACTTGCACACGAAAAGGAGGGAAAGGAAGGGTACACAGTGATTAAGGAAGAAATGTTCAGAAAGAAATGGGTTCGTTTGGTAGAGATTCCTACGTAAGTCAGATGAGATAATGACTTAGCTATTTTCCATCTCAATTCCTATCCTTTACTAGATTAAAGGGGACTCATAGTGTGCTCTTTAATTACACGAACTCCGCAATGTTCTAGGAATCATGTAGTTTTTAGAATATTTAGAGGGTCGAGGTTATCAGAAATTTGTGGTTGTAAGGTCATCTGTATGGCTTTTTATATCGCTTATTTATAGTGATGTTCGAGTGATCTGTGCTTATATAGACGTTATTGTTATTTTTGTCATTATCAGCGTTATTATCATTATTTGTTATTCTATTACATTATTTCCATCAATTGTTATTATCATTATTTCCATTATTGTTATAATTGTTATTATCATTATTTCCATTATTTGGCATTCTTATTGTCATTATTTCCATTATTGTTATAATTGTTATTATAATTATTATTCTTATTGTCATTTTATTATTGTTATAATTGTTATTATAATTATTATCATAAATTTTATTGTTATCATTATTAATATGATTATTATTGCTGTTGTTGTTATTTTTATTATTATTATTATTGTTATTATCATTGTTGTTTTTGCTATTATAGTTTTATTAGCATGCGACTAAATTTACAGGGTAATTGTTGATAGTGTGATATTGCTATCATTATTATTATCATTATCAACATGATCATTATTGTTATCATTATCATTACCAGTATCATTTATATTGTCATTATTGTTATCATAATTTTTATTATTGTTACTACTATTAATATTATTATTATTATTATCATTATCATCATCATAGCTACCATTATCATTACCATTATATTTACTATCATTATCATTATCATTATTGTTTTTTATTATTATTATTACTGTAGTTATAATCATCATCATCTTATTAGTTGTGGTAACATTACTGATAGGATTATCATGATTATTTGTAAAATCATTATTGTTATTGTTATTATCATTATTATCATTAATTATCCCCATCATTATCATTCTCAGTGTCATAATCATCAGTATTGTTATTATTATCATCACTATTGTTGACATCATTGCCACTGATATTATCATTAACATTATCGTTTTTATTATCGGTATTGGTATTATCATCATAACTATCATTGTTATCATTATTATTATTACCCTCAATTTCATTATTTCTATCATTACCATCATTATTATCATTGGCATCATTGTTATTGATATCAACATTTTCCTTTTATCATCTATATCATTATTATCATCATTATCATTGTTGTTGTTACTATTATCATTATCATTACCATTAGTCTTATCATTACTATTATTATTATTATCATCATCATTATTATTATAATTATCATTATTATTATTGTTGTTGTTGATATTATTGTTATCATTATCATAATCATTATCATTATTGTTATCAGTATCATTATTGTTATCAATATCATTATCTTTATTATAATCATCATTATCATCAATATTATTATAATCATCATTATTGTTATTACTACTACTACTACTGCTAGTACTACTACAATTACTACCACTTTTGATATTACTTTTGTTATTATTATCATTACTCTTATCATTACTATAATGATTATCATTATTATAAATTTTACTATCATTATTACTATAGTTTTTAGTAGCATTATCATTATTATCATTATCATTACTAGCTTCATTGTGATCACCATTAGCACTATCATCATTAT